ACAGCCCTTTCCCAGGGGCATTTTTCACACTGGGAATAATTTAAAATGGATATTTAGATAGTAGGGCATGTAGCTTGGAACTTCTCATCCACACTGCGTGCCACAGGGTATTGTCAAGAGAAATAATCCCTATCCGTGGATTGAGGTTCTGGGAGGTTCCAGAGGTGGAAATGTGGCCCAGCTGCTTCAGTTTTGACAACAGAATGTGAGAAATGGCAAATGTGTGAAAGGACAAATCATCTTGGGCAGGTTTTCCTACTGTACTGCCAGCTGAAAAAGAAGAAAGGAGAGGAAGGGAAGTTCAAGGAAATTCAGGAAAGGAAATTCAAGGAAAGAAAATTCAGGAAAGGAAAGGAAAGGAAAGGAAAGGAAAGGAAAGGAAAGGAAAGGAAAGGAAAGGAAAGGAAAGGAAAGGAAAGGAAAGGAAAATAAAATAAAATAAAATAAAATAAAATAAAATAAAATAAAATAAAATAAAATAAAATAAAATAAAATAAAATAAAATATGTTTGAGTGTGTCTCCTTCCAGGATCCCAACAAACTTCAGTGCTGGGTTGAATTTAGCAGCTGTCTCTCCCCTTGCTGCAGGGGTCAGTGGAAGGGGGAAGCTCTCAGGGATGTCATTGCTCACAGCTCCCTGAAAGGAAGAGAGGACAGCAGCAAGGATGAAAAGAAAGTGTGAAGAGTGCTAGCAAGAGAGAATAAAGGAACTTTTTTCTTCTATTTCAACAGGGAGATGTGCTTTGGAATCAGTCTCTTTAATGATAAAGATATCCCTGCAATGTGAGGAAGCTGAAATCTGCTGTTTACCTATGACTAGCTGATGTTTAAATGAAAGTGTTGTTCACCTTTTAAAGTATTATTTTATTTAAACTTCTTTGTATTTGGGAAAATTTTGCCTAAATATGCTTTTTCAGTATAAATGAACTTAAATTCTAGAAATGTCTGCAAAACCTAGAAATCAATCAATTAATATTTTTATCCCAGCATTCTCTGCCTGTGAAATGAGGCTGCTGGAAAATATTCTCCACTTGGTAGCAGGGCTGTGGGAAAAAGCACACTGCAGCTTGAAAGTGAATATTATGGTATTTTAATGAATAGAAGTATCTTAAATTTTAACAACCTCCTAAGAAAAAACAATTTTATGCAAATTTCACTGATTTGGATCTGAGACATCAGCAACTTAGAGTTTGCATAACTATGAAATTATTGATTTTTACACTATAAAATATGCTTTGCTAGCTAGGGTGACACCATGAAAACCATGAACTTTTTCTGCACTGCTGGACATTGTCCTGATGGGCAAACTTTTAGAACCTCCTGTTCTGAGGTTAAAATATTTAACATTTAGTGAGCCCAAACAGAATTTATATTTAAAGGAGGACTTTGCCTCCTGTATTTTTTACCACAAACTGAGATGTCAAATCCCTAGTATGACATTCCCTACTACCACAGGCAGCTCAGGTGAGCTCTCTGCCATTCACTGCTCTCTTTGCTCTCTGCCATTCTTTTGCTCACACAAATGGCAGGTGTGAATGTAAAAATCTGTAACTCCACATCCTAGTGGAGTTCTGTGTGTGTACACGCCATGTGACTCCTGCTCAGTTCCAGCAAATTGTGCTGGTGAGTAAAATAGCTCAGCTCCCAAGATCTGCAGGAGTAAAATAAAATACAAAGACCAGAAAAAGAATATGACGGTTAGTTAGTCATGTTAGACCAGTTTAGACAGTCCTGTTGCTGTCTAAAGTTTCCCCAGTCAATATCATGAAATGTTCTGCTCAGCAGCTTGCTTTCTTAAGTCCCAGTCTCACCAGGTGTTCTCCTTTCTGCTGGGAATTCCTGCTCTCAAACTGCTCTGGCCCTGATCTCCTCACGGAGCTCTCGCTGTTATCCTGCACTCCCAGATGTTAAAAATAGGTTAGAAAGTGTTGTAAATTAGTTGATTATTGTTAGGCATGTACTGTTAGTTTGGTTGTTATGTTGTAACAGGGGTGAAAAGGGTGGTTATAAGAAATTACACCTAAGTTAAGCGCACCACTCCCCAAGCTAAATGAGCCAGCCTGGACAGAACTGTAAGGGCCAATCAAGCACCTAAAACTGCACTGTCCCACCACCCTGATTTCACATCACCTACCTGAGCTTTCCTTTTTCCTTCTGGATGGCTTTTTCTCAGAGTCACTTGTAGGATTTGCCGGCGCCTCATCATCCTCATCCGCAGCCACGCTCACCAGGCTGGCGCTGCTGCCCTCTGACTCTCCAGAAGCCAAGGCCAGCCCTGGGTTTGCTCCTCTGGTGGCCTCAGGTGCTGCCAGGTGCCACTCAGGGTGCTGGAACGAGGGGTGCTGCTCCTGGGGGAAGCTGTGGGCAGCTGGCACCAGGCAGGAGGCTGAGAAATCAGGGTACGCAGCAAAATCTGCTTTTTGCTGGAAGGAGAAGGGTGCTGCTGGGTAGTGGCTGAGCCCTGGGGCCGAGCTCAGCTCGGGCTGGGAGCTCCTCACGCAGCCCCAGAGCAGGGGGGGAGGCTGTGGGCTGCTCATGCAGCTGCTGCTGCTGGGATCCATCTGCTCCCAGTCCTGCCCACACCTCAGGGCTCCTGCCTGCTGACAGCTCAGCCTCCAAAAGCACCAGAGGAGCAGAGGGGAAACTCTTCCAGATGTCACAGAAATCTCCTCCCTAAGCAGCGCTTTGCTGGTGATGCTGCTGCAGGTTTGCTGCTTTAGGAGCTCTGCTTCTCGAGGTCTTCATTGCCAAGCAGATTTAGGCAGGGATTGCCATGAGCTGCTTCCTTGTGAGGTGCTGGGCATGAGTGAAACACTTTTTAAACACTGGGCTGGGGAGACAGTGACAAGTTTGTGAAGTGAAATGTGAGCGAGGGAAGGAGGGGTTAACACACATACCCTCAGCCCCTCCAACCAAAGCAAAGCAGGCAGCTATTAATCATCTGAAACCTTATATGCACATCTAATGGGATTTGCAGATGGAGCCTTTTAAAGAAACAATGTCTGTATTTTTTTTTAAGGGAAAGAGCAGCACACACACAAAAAAAGTCTTTAATGTTTCCTTGTAACACTATGAAGTTATTTTTATTGCACTGTTAACAAAATTCTCAGTCTTGGGTTTAAAAAAAGCCCTAAACCAGGATTCAATAGACAACAAATCTCAAGAACTAAAGTGGGAAATAGAAGCAAGAAAGGCCTTCAGTAATTATATATAATTTTAGGCCCAATCCTAAGGTTAAGAAAAATTATTAAACCTGGCTTGTACACACATGCAAGGCTTTGAGTGGTGTTTGTTTTGTTAGATTTGTAACACATGTATTTGCTGAGGGTTGAAGTTTGCTGCCAGTGGCAGTTATTCTTTCTGTATTCTACTTTCTAGGGAATTTTCAATACACCCTCCTGCAAGGAAATCTCCTGATTTTATGCCAATGAAAGGCATGTTTTTCATCTTTTGTTGAACATTTTATAGTTTTTCCTAACAGAAAGCAGATTTTTTTAGACCCCAGAGCCATCCCAGCTGAAAAGTCATTAACAGGGAATCTGCTCTCAACCCCTTTTTCCTAGAAGTGACAATGCTCCAAACCCTATGCCAGGATTACTGCAGCTCCTCCCAGGTTATTCTCCATATTTTTAATGACAATTTAGATATTCCTGTGTCCCATGTCTCCAGAAACTGCTTACAAACATTTCAAATACTTCTCCAGGCCTTGCTCCGTGTTGTCTGTGCCTCTTTCCCTTCTCCCATCACTGCTGCTGGGTTTTGTGAGCACAGGGGCACAGAGATTTAACAGACATGAGGTCTTCATCTTCCACAAGAGCTGAAGTGATACTCTAGTTATTTTGGTTTTTGTGTAGTTCAGAATTGTGAAATTTCATGGAATCTGGGTGAAGTGTGCAATGTGTTTATCCTGTTATGTCTGTTGGTTTTTAGAACTTGGCCTTTTCCAGGAAATCAAATTATTTTGGTTTAAATCCTTCTGAAGAAGAACATCAAATTCCTTTCTATCACAGGAATCTAAATTTTCATGCAAAATACTCAATATCTGATAGCCTATTAATTCTCTAGGAAGAACTTGCCTAAATATTAAATCTGTTGCATTTAATAGTAAACATTTAAAAGCATTTCATACTCACAGGCAGGAGGAAGACCCCAGACTGTTCTTTTTTGAAAGGTCAGGTTATGATGAATTTGTGAATGCTGCAAATGTTTCAGGCATTGGCAGGATCTAAGTCAGAGTCCAGAAAGTTTTGCCAATGTAGAATATTTAATTTATATTTTCTGTGTGTGTGTGTATGTGTTCACTTACATGGGTTACTCATGGTTTGCATTAATTCAGACTAAATCAGTTTTTCAGTCCTGCCTTCAGTCTACAAAGAGATCTCTCTAATTAGCAAACATTCATCCTTGCAGGGATAGAAGAAAGGAGAATTATCCCTTAGTCTCAAGCCCACTTGGGTCATTGTCTCCCTTGAGCTCTCGCTGTTATTCCTGCAACTCCAGATGCTAAAAATAGGTTAGAAACTGTTGTAAAATAGTTGATAATTGTTAAGCACGTACTGTTGGTTTGGTTGTTATGTTGTAAAAGAAGTGAAAAGGGTAGTTATAAGAAATTACACCTAAGTAAAGTGCACTACTCCCCAAGGGATACGAGCCAGCCTGGACAGAACTGTAAGGGCCAATCAAGAACCTAAAACTGGATTTGCATGAAGGATCCAAAAATAAACCAATCCAAAGGGACAAAAAACAGGATAAAAAGGGGCATCTGACCCAGGGCACCTGTGCCACTCCATCTGGAACGTTGGGGACATCACTGCTGAAGACCTGCAGCATCCTCAACGGGATCGCTCCTGCGCGGCCCTCAGGCCCCCTTGCTTTAGGCCTTTCTGTTTATTATAACAAATGCTGAAATCACTTTTAGTATTGGGAGTCTGGTCCTGTTTTTAACACCAGATGTGAGAACAGGACATGTCTTCTTTCTGGGAAGAAATTTTTCCTCCTGCCCAGCCTAGACCTTGCAACTTAAGGCTGTGTCCTGTTCTCCTGTCCCTGGTGCCTGGGAGGAGAGGAGGTTCCCTGAACTGCTGAAATCACTTCAGCACCAGGAGTCTGGTCCCATTTTTAAAACCAGATGTGGGAACAGGAGATGTCTTCTTTCTGGGAAGAAATTCTCCCTCCTGCCCAGGAGGAAGATGTCTTTAGTACCAGGAGTCTGGTCCCGTTTTTAACACCAGTGGCTGTGTCCTGTTCTCCTGTCCCTGGTGCCTGGGAGGAGATGTTTCTCCTTGAACTACTGAAATCCCTTCAGTACAAGGAGTCTGGTCCTGTTTTTAACCAGTGGCTGCGTCCCTGGTGCCTGGGAGGAGAGGCTGTTCCCTGAATTACTGAAATCACTTCAGTATTGGGAGTTTGGTCCCATTTTTAACACCAATGGCCATGTCCTGTTCTCCTGTCCCTGGTGCTTGGAGGAGAGGCCGTTCCCTGAACTGCTGAAATCCCTTCACACCATGAGTCTGGTCCCATTTTTAACACCAGTGGCTGTGTCCTTGGGGCCTGGGAGGAGGAGCTGTTCCCTGAACTGCTGAAATCCCTCCAACACCAGGGGTCTGGTCCCGTTTTTAACACCAGATGTGGGAACAGGAGCTGTCGTGGCCTTTCCTGGCCTGGGAAGCCTCGGGCCTGTG